TCCAGGTGACGTGCGTATCTATCGAAGTGCCGACAGCATGGACTCTGAAGAAGAGCAATTATTCCACCAAGTGGAATTTCTGAACTCCATGAGTCCGGCGAGCCTACCACCCCATCGATTGATCCTCAAAGTCGGTTGTCCTATCATCTTGCTACGCAATATCGATGTCACAAAAGGGCTCTGCAACGGAACCCGATTGATTTGCCGTTCATTCCAATCCCATGTCATCGAAGCAGAAATCGCAAATGGCGTGAATGTTGGAAATCGCGTGTTCATCCCTCGAGTCACTTTGACCAACGAATCGGACGAAAATGGAATTCATTTCAAGCGGCGCCAATCCGCGTCGCATTTGCAATGACAATAAACAAGGCGCAGGGACAAACGTTCGATGCAATCGGACTATTCCTACCGGTTCCGATGTTTGCCCATGGGCAGCTATATGTTGCTATGTCACGCGTAAGTAGACCATCAGCGATAAAAATCTTGATCGTTTGGGATGCAAACGATCGATCTACAGAAGTATGCACCAACGTCTACCGCGAAGTGTTTGACAGCCAACAGCTGGATCGTTAATTCCTTGAATCACGCACTGCGCTATGGTCCTATTTTGTATCCTCATTTATGTATTTTATGTTTCTTTATGCCTATACTCTTATTTTGTGTTTTTCATTATTTCAGTACGTTTTATTGTATGCTTTTTTTACCTCATGTTCCTTTACTTTTATCCTTATGTCTATGTTTTTTTCAAATTATCCTTTACCCCTATGTTGTGTTTCTATCATTCTTTTATGTTTTACTGTATGCTTTTTGTCCTTATGTTCCTTTTGATTTTATCCTTATGCTATGTTTTTCCCAAGTAATGATTTGTCTGTTATCTATTTTTGTCTCTTCCATTTAATATTATATGATGTCTGACTATTTCCGTTCCTAACTTTGCATACATATTGTTGTTCCTCTGTCGTGGATGAAGAAAATGATCGTTATGAGGCGGTGGGTCAGGGAGGGCAAGCCCCCCGGAAAAAAGGAAAAGAGACTGAGCTTCATTGAATGCGCAAAGATTTATGAGTACATCAACTAAATCTTACCGAAAATCAACCCGAAGGGAAGCTTATTGACAAAAGATTAGAGTTAAGAGAACACCATCAAGCGGGACCTTCGGATACACAAATTCGAGTGCGGAGTTCTGAATATTGCAAATGGAATATCCCATTCCAAACACACCTTTAATCAGCTACTATTCCCACTTCCCTCAGAGCAACATCCCTACTACACATCCAACGAACCAAACTTTGTGATCTTCAAGATCACACGCGCAACTAGTCTACATAATTAAAATCTTTGGGAAATTAGCTATTTGTAAATCACATGATCTACACTAAGTTATCAGGGCCTGTTAAACCTCTTTTTTTTATCTTTCAACCATGCCTCGCTGCCTACTTCCACAATAATAGGTGAAACAATCAGCAGCAAGATGCCGTTTGCGCCATTTATGGTCAAACAGAGCATCGTCGTCTTTCGAATAAAAATGTGAGTAGAGCTCTTTTTGAAGAAAAGTGGTTGATGATACGACTGGCGTTCTTCTGTAGCATCATTCAACTTGGTTTTTTTTTGTCAGTTATACTGTATATGTCCTTTCATTCTCTTTCAATTTTGAATGAATCGAATAATACATAAGCAGACGTGCTTCGATCTATGAATTCATGCATCAGTGGGGTGACTATTGTTTCATCCATGGAAAACATATATTTTTGTCTTCAATTTTATCTTTCTTCTTTTGATTTTCTCTCTCTCTTTCTGTTTGTTTGATAAACCCTCACTATCATTGTAGCAAGATCCCATCCGCATCCATCATCCAGACCATTCTTATCTCGTGTATTTAAATCGACTACCATCCTCAAAAAGGTAAGCGTCGAGTGGTCTACCATCGATTTTGCTCCGGCAAAACAGACTTACCTCTCCTTTACTTCCATCCTTCTTTTAGCTTCCGGTTATCTCCGTTTTCTTTTCGCCTGACAAGTTCTGGATACTACAAGTTTACTTCTCGCCATCCATCGATCCATTTGGCGAAACCGGATGACGTCAAAGGCCATCGATGGTGGTGTGTTCTTTTTAATCAGCAACGCTTACGTGTCCTCTTCATGTTCCTCTCCTTTGGATTGCTTCTCATCATATGGTATTCGAGATGTCCTCCCGATTATTTATTTTGTAGTTTATAGTTTGTATTTTATATTTCATGTACATATTCTTTTCGCAGTCTTTTCCTCTTTTTTTCCCACAGGGTTTTTTATGAGGTTTTTACTGATGCGACCATTGGTTTTTTTTATCATCATGTACTTTATTTGTTTCTTTCTTTTTATTCGGGGGACTCTCGATATCATCCAACTCGACGTTACCGTCACTTCTGGCCACGTCAATATTTTTTGCCTGCTCAAGCTGACACCACCGATCCATCGCTTAACTGTCCTGGAAGCAATTTTATTTTCCGCATTGAAGAAGAGGCTTACCTGGCGGTCCATATTCATCTTTTTTTCTTCCGGTACACCATTTGGTTCAAGGCAAGTCCAATTTTTTTTTTCCTTTGCTATGATGTATAATGAACGTATACTATTCAAATTTTTTCAATGTCATATAATCCAAGTCATGTCAAGCGATCAATGGCTATTGCAAACTCAAATAACAAAGGTAAAATATCTTGACGAAAATTTGAATCAATCAAAGAGCTCACTAACTCATTTTTTCTAAATACCCAACATACCCACACATCTTTCTAGATCTATCATAGCCTGGGCGGGATGGACTGAGGGGGTCAATCAGTGCTGCTTTGCGCGTGTTCAGAAACAAATCATGTTGCATGGTATTGCCATAAGGTTGTCATTAATATATCAAAGTCCGTCAAGAGTTCTCGCCCAGGTTATGCCGTGTATGCGTTAGGCTTTTTGTCTGACGAAAGTCGCTCAATGTAAGAGGGCGGCCTTCGGGTGGCAGGCGGCATCCATTGCACAGCGGGTGTACGGCTTGTTAAAAATTAATAATCTTTGAAAGTTGAAATACAAAAAGATAATGGGAACCAAAATTGGCTCGGCCATAGTGGCGTCAGCAATACTGCTTCCTTGGTCTTGTCCCGTTTCATCTTTCGAACTGCCTGTGGAATCAAGTTTTATGGTGGATACACGTGTAGGTCTCGCCTGTTCCAATTCTGGGTGAATGCATCTGTCGCTATCGCAAACGGATCTTCGTTAAAACTCCAATACGATGGCAATTGGTGATTGTGAGCTGCTGCAAACGCGTCTATCTTCATGGTCTTGTTCCATGTATTCTAAATTAGGTTGGAGAACTTCCGGAAATCGTCGCCTCATAAAACGGTTTCCGGGATCTGCTCAACTTGTCGGCGTGTACATTTTGGATGCCCGGTACATGGTGGTATTGGATCGTTAAATTGTGTAAATTGCACAAGTCCTGGATCTTTACTGCTAATCCTGTAGGGCTAAGGATGCTGTGTCCCCCGCATTCGTCACGTAGTTCGATGCCGTCATATTGTTGGGGATCATTGTCAGTATGGTGTTCCTTAACCTTCTTGCATGAATAAGAATGGCGCAATATATTGGCGTCAGTTCTCGTACGTTGATCGACATTTCGTTTTCGGCCGCTGACCAAGATCCTGCTGTGCGGATCACGTTGGAGGTGACTCCCCATCCTGTGTCGGAGGTGTCCACATGTATGGTTTTTGTTGGTGTCGGAATCGGTAGTTTGTATATTGGCAGACCGTTCTTCTGGACTAGACAACGTTTCCACCATGCGATTTCGTCCCGAGCTTGAGGTGAAAGGTGGCAATAGTTGCCCCAATTGTTCCGGTTGTGATGTAGATTTCGTGCTAAGTCCCATTGCATGTGGCGTATGCGTAGGAGTACTTCCGCTATCGCTGAAAATACTGCTGCCATTTTTCCCAACAAACTCGTCACCCATGTGCATGATCTCTTCACCGGGAGTTCGGCTTGCCGTATGCGCTGCATCAGTTTGTTGACTTTCTGGACCGGTAAGGAAATGGACATCTTTTTCGTATCGAATTGGAAACCCAAACTCCTGGGACTGGTGCGGTTCTAGTACAGTCTGGTCCTTGTTGATAAGGAAACCAAGTCGCTCCAGATGGTCGATAACTGTCTGTACGGAGATCTTCATGGCTTCTTTGCATTTCTCTAAAAGACATAAATCGTCTAGGTAATAGACTAAGCGCATACCTTTTGTCCTTAAGTATTCGATCGCATAGCGCATCAGCTTCGCAAAAATTCTCGGCGCGACACTCAGACCGAAAGGGAGGGAAGTGTATTGATAAACTACCTGCTTGTTCTCGAAGGTCAAGTATTTCTGGGAGTCTTCGTGGATCGGGACCACCACATAAGCGTCTTTGAGATCTATCTTGCACGTCTTCCTCTATTATTTTCCGCAACGCCGGTACTCCTTCCATCTTGAAGTGTTGGACCTGTAAGAATTCGTTCAATTTCGTGCAGTTCAGATTGGGCGGCGTTTTGTCGGTTCTTGGATGGTAAAAAATGTCGAGAGGTTACTCTTGTCTTGTGTAGAGAAGGCCGGATGATGCCGGCCTGAACAAATTTCTGTACCGCTGAGTCGACTGCTTATTGTTCTGTATTCATCTTCAATGGGATGGATTTCCAAAATAGAGATGTCTTCTGAAATTGTAACCGATAACCATATTCGACTACCCAGAGTGGCCATGAGTGGGAGGTTATTGACTTCCAATGGGATGTAGAAATGTTGTAACCGTCCCTCTGGCAAAGTGCCATCTGGGGGAATCGAAATAATTGCGTTGGGGTGATGTTAAATCTGTCTCTACATCTGGTTGTTGTTGTTGTAAGGGCTTGCACTGGGGTTTGTCCCATAGTTGTTGTTCGATGGATCCCTGGGGGAGGATCAATTGCCTCGACCTCTCCCTCGCTGCGATAAAAAAAACCGCGTCTTCCTCGGTATCCATGAGTTCCCTTCCGCTAGTACAATCGCGGGAGGAACCGGGGTCGATTGGGGTGGCGATGGCGGTAGCTATCTCCAGTGACTCGTTCTTTAAAGGTTTCCTGGTAATATCTCTCGATGAATTCTTGATTGAAGGCGTATTTCTTCTCTCCTGGAGTCTCCAGGTGTCTAAGACTGTATGGAGGTTTGAGAGCCTTTGTAGTGACTTCTCGTGCTTCAGCTTCTTGTAGCCTTGCTGTGCCGAAACCGAAGACTGCGAGACGGCGGGCTTTTTCCACTGTTTGGTCGTAGAGGTCTTTGTCTTCGGCTTTTGCCATCCTCGTTCGTCGATGTAGTGGAGGGATGACGCAATGTTGTCGTGATGTAAACAACTGCAAATCAGTTGGATCTATTCCACGGATTCATATCATAAAATGAGTAACTTTATGGAATAAAGAATAACTTTGATCTTCAAGAAAATACGCTTCCTTGGGTCGGTCATTCCAGCCAAACCTGTGGCGCCCCAAACTCCGATCGGCCAAACTTATTACAGTGGCGTGTGCGTCCCATTCAAAAATTAGAACTGGCTTTTAAACCTCAATATCAATTTTCAACTATATACTTTAAAAACCAAAAGACAACCCATAAGCTACTCAAAAACATCATCGACACAACCCATTCGAACAACATTTTACGACGACTTCCACCCTATTTTAATCTTTGTGACTAATCCACATTTCACGTGCGGAATTTTTCCTCTGATCGATTTTCTTCAAATTTCAAATTTTTGCACTGAATAGAGTCTTGCAACGAATACCAAATAGCAACAAGATATGGCGCACATATTCCCCCTAACCCAAACGTGCATACTCAACGTCGATAATGAACGTGGAGCAGTAAGAAAGATTACGCTGCGAAAAAGCCATATCACTTTGCAGTCTCATGAAGTGAAAGTACGTCTGAGAGGGCCACATGCACGCCCTTATGTCACCCCCCCCACTAAGACGGACTTTCAATCAGATGAAAAAACTGTTTTCCAAGTCCGTCTTAGAGGGGGGTTGTCATGAGAGCGCGCGTCATAATCTCCATTTGGGTGCACAGGTAACCTTCTTCAATCATCTCTATCCCGTCTTGGCTATTTGTTATTGTGATTACCAGTTAAATAAATTTTGAAGTTGTTGATATTAACGACTACTATAAGGATTTGAGCATCGAGCCTCATCGTGCTGAAGTAACCAGGATACCATCTCGAAGGACAATTACAACAGAGTAAGGCATCCTAGAGCGGGCAAAATGATAGGACGACCAGGTTAATGGCTTCAGCTGAGAGTTCTACAATTGAATCACTAATATGTCAATAACGAGATAGATTTTTGCAGCAAAGCCCCTGCTGAACAGTACTGGGCTGAACTGAGAGAAAAGCTCTTACAAGCATCAGCAGGTGCAAACCAAATTTGACTTGTCTGTTACCTAGCCCGCTTCAGTGTTGGAGTTATAGGAAGTGAGAAAAACAAATAATGAATTAGAAAGCTCCGCTAACTGTGTAGTGACAGTGAAAGAAACTGCGCAGCAGGGGCCATCAAATATCAAAAAAGCGCGAAGGTCATCCAGATTGCGAAGGAAAATGGAGTTTGTACGTTTGGTTTGATTATTACTGTGCTATACAAATGTTCATATAGTAATTATTCCTAGGAGAAACCTGAGAAGAATGGCGAGAAAGTTGTACTGCGTGAAGCAGCTGAAGGCCAAAACTCGAAAAGCACAATGAGGAATTCCTTTTGGTTGCCTGGCCCAGGTGTAATCCACGAAACATCGAATCCTGATAAGGAGGATGACGAAGTAACCTTGCGAATGTACGGTTGCAAGCAGCCGTTTTTAACCATGATTGTGCATTAATATAGTGGATGATCGGCGAAATCAACATTTCAAAAATTTTGCATCAACACCACAATGACGTTCTCAACGAATGCCAGGAAGTAGATCTGTCAGATCCAGCCGACATCTTGTAAGATCAATGGGGCTTTCAAATCATATTGCTTGAGACTGATTATTTTCAGGAGCCTGAATTTCATCTTTTTTTTTCCATTAAACAAGAAGTGCGGCATTTGGCCCATCATTCCTAGCGACGTCCAAAAAGATGTGATCAAGGACATTAACATTGATGAAGGCAGGTTTTATTTGCCATCGGAGGCTATAGAAGTCGTTAGGGCTGTTAATAAGGTATTCATACCCATCCATTTATTTTGATAGCGGAGGAAAATCATTGAACTATACAGTAGGCTTCTAAATCCAATGAGAACATTCGGCGCATACTGCTGACATTCATGCAAGAATCGCTTGACAACCCGTCGCTGGAGCCATTCGCCGATTGTTTCCACACATTGTACGTGTATTTATTGTTGCCAAGATTTTATGAACCGGACTGACTTCTCAAAAGAGTGAATCAGGAGAACCATCAATCAAATGCTTTAGAAGAATGGCAGTTCGCCGAGTTTTGCCTTATGCCCTACTTGAAAACCTTATTCCCACGAAGCGAAGGCTTTCAAATCTCAGAGTAAGTAAGGATCGGGTATTACGAACATAAACTTGTTGGTAATTTTTCTTTCCCACTGCTGCAGCCCAACCCGGTCATCAGAAGCGGGAAAAGCTTATATTAGCTTGACAAACAATACATTGATAGCGCCCGAACCCGACGTGGTGATATCAAAGGATGACGTGGAACGTCTTGGCGGTGAATTTAAGCGGCCGAATAAGAAATGTGTGAGCGTCTCCAATGATTTGGTCAAACTTGGCAACGAGCTCAAGTTCATGCTGGATACACTCATTCATGATGGAAACAATGACAGTACATATGTTGTAGGCATTTTGCTTGAAGGTATGTAAACACTGGTCTCATCGTTTTCTGAATCTCGTTCGTTAATAAATGTATAGGAGTAAAGTGCTCGACCTATAAATTGGACCTGAATTACAACGGGGTATATCGCTTGGTAGAACTGTCTTGTTCGGACCTGATGTCCAATGATTTTGATTTCTACCCGTCAATATCAATCTTCGAAAATATCGCACAGCTCAAGGTAATTTTCATCCATCATTTCTATTAAGAGATCTTTACCAACATAAATGTAGAACCTTATCACCAAGTCTCCCCAACGGAAACAGCCTCTTTATTGGCTGCGAAAATCGTTCCTCCCCCCTTTAGGGTTTTGGCTTTAGTTGATATCAGTTTAGTACATTAGTTAACTTAACAAGCTCTATTTATGACGGATATCGAATACGGCTTTTGCGACCGAAAACGGTCACTAGGACATCCGAGGCTTATCTTTGCCCATAGTGATCTTTTTCAGAGCTCTTCTCTTGATTTGAAAACTTAAGAGGTGCAGCATTATTACCATCGCCTTTTCATCACGTTTTTCTATTCTAAAAATCACAGAAGCATAAACATGATCCCTAAATTTTTCTTGATCGGTTCCTTGTTCTCAAGCCTCGAGCCAGCAACAAGTTACATGTTAGCTCACGTGTAACCGTTTCCAACCATTATCTACGACGAACAGCAGCACCCCACCTTCTTGAAGACACAGTGGATTTAAATGCACCACATCTGCATTATGAAGGCGCTATTAGAGATCAGTTTGTCGCGCCTAATGGGAACCATATGTTCAAGATTGCTCTGGATCCACTCCCTAACGTCATGGTGATTTATCTGACATCTGTCTGAAGCTTGATCGTCGGAGACAGCCTGTTGGTAGCCAATCCAGGGGTGATGTCCCTCTGACACGGGTGGCGCTGGAGTTGAAGTCGAGGAGCTCTTCAAGAAGTAAAGGAGATAGTTGAAGAGGAGCTTCTGGACTCAAACTGGGAAGGAGTGTCAATTACCGTGGATGTCTGATTGGCAAACCCCATCTCGAGCTTTTCGATGAGCAATCCTCATTTGTCACTGCCGAATGAGGAACTTGCGTCTCCTGCCAAATACTTTCTACTCTTCTTGCCAACTGAGCACGTAAAAATGTTATGATCCCTGCCATCCATGATCATGCTCGGTTTTTCTGTCAGGCATTGAAAGGACTTGACTTTACCGAGTATCCAACATGGATTATGCGTCTTTTGACCATAATGATATGTAAATTCACTGATCGCTTGACCTTTCAGATTGAACATCAACTTCAACGATTACATATCGCTACAACGGTTCGACGAACTTGTAGTACATTGCATGCATTTGTTGTAACAAGTGGAGCAAGGTATATTTCTATTATATCCACTGAGCTGTCTTCATAGATGTCAACAAGATCTATCGTACCAAGTCGTTCATTTCGGGACGCCTTTATGAGCACATGGTCGATGCTTTGATCCCTGGCCGATATATGTGTATTGCAGATTCGATGAATCAGTGGCTCGGGGCTGGTGTATCCAATCTGAAGGAAGTTCTTCGGAAGTCGCACCCCATCGGCCAGATGAATGCATTGCCGAAAATACTAAGTGTTGTATAATTCGGTTGGATTTTATTGGTGACCCTGTGGCGAGAAATTCGACGATACTGATAGAAACTTTGTGGCTACAGTCAAGCGTTTGTGAACCTTGGTCTCACACCGGAGGAACAATCATCGCCGACTCATGGTTCGGGTCATCAGAAATGGTTCGAAAGCTAAATGCGCACGTCGCAGGGCGGAAGGAACGACTTTCTTAACCAATAAGATGGCTGTTTCCTTTGGGACGCTTTAATCGCCAAATTTCTACATTTTGTTGGTAAAGCTCTCTTAATAGAAATGATGGATGAAAATTACCTTGAGCTGTGCGATATTTCCGAAGATTGATATTGACGAGTAGAAATCAAAATAATTGGTGATCAGGTCCGAACAAGACAGTTCTACCAAGCGATATACACTGTTGTGGCTTAAGGTCAAGTTTATACCTCGTATTTGACACCTACATTTTTACTTTATTATAGGATCAATGTTTAAATGCTTTCAAGTAGAAATGCCTACAACGTATACATTTTTAGCCCGTCCGTTATGGGTCAAAGCATTTTACATGTGCTTTAACTCGTTGGCAAGTTTTGTTAAGTCGTTATATATGCCGAGGCGTTTTTTATTTGGCTTCCTAAACTTGACGGCAATCCATTCCCATGCTATTCCTTGATATTATTGCGTCGGGTTTGGGGGCAATCCACATAATATCTGCCAGATCTTCACCTCTTTTTTCACGAATGAGTTGAACTGCCGCAGGTAAACAAATGATCAAAAAGCCGGGTTCTCCGTTCCAATTTTCCTTATACTAAAATTCGAAGTCTTCATTCGGAGGAAAAAGCACTCATAGATATGGCAGCGACGCAAAATTCGGCAAAATTTCTACTTCTCTTGTTCTGATGAGTGGTAATTTCCCCGATAGTTATTCACTCTTGTGGGATCGGCGGCGAATGATGCGATATGATGGGCGGCGTACATTTCTTCTGATGCCGCATAACTCGAGTTTAAACTCGGTGGAGAGTTGAGGGTGCTTGACAACCATTGGGATCCTGCGCCCTCTTCCGAGACAACGATGCGGGTACAAACCCATTATCTGCTGTGATCGTGGCTAAGCTGCTGTTGTTTATTCTCGATTCTCGAAAGAGATGATCTTTTTAGATCTGATATTCAAGGATCTGGTATCGGGATTTAAATGTACAAATAGTGTGTAACTACTCTAGTGTCTCTTATCTGCTTAAACCGAGGTAATTCTTATGTAGTGGCATATGAGCCCTATCTATACGAAAGTCATGTACTAAAATAAACAACAGCCATTAAGTACAGATTAAATCGAACTCAAAAAAGATCACTGAATCTGACAAAAATCCTGATCTAAATCGACTAAATTAATGCGGAATTTATAAGAACTGTCGTATCCTTTTTTGATATTTCCTAAAACGTTCACGGCGACACTTTCGTATTTGGTGATGACGCTTTGATCACCTCCAAGCAGCCGTCTCCTTTATCAAACAGCTCGGCCGAAAGGCTGAGCATTCAGGACCAAAATACCCTGCTAGCCCTACTTCGAAATTATTATAGATTAAGCCAAAAACATATAAATATCCCCTCGACCAAAACGAATAAAGATCATCAATTATCTATCCTCCAATTCTATTTCATTTCTTCATCTTTGTGCGTGGAACCAGTATCCGGAATAGATCCAGCGAATCTCGAAAACGACACGACGACAACAGAACCAACGAAAAAAAGGGCCCAAAAAAGATGAACTCAACCTTACTTGATGCAAATGGAACAAGAAAATTGGACAGTTCAGATTCTATACCATAGCTTTCAACACCGGCAAAGCGTCCGAAGAGGCTCCACCTTAAGCCAGGGATAATTGTCAAATCATCATCACCATAAAACGTTGCACAAAGCATGTTTCGAATATACAAAGTACAGTGCCGATTACTCGCGCAATGTATTATCGCAAACTTCAGCAATAGTTGAATTAAAATTCCGATTTTATAAACCACCGGCTATTTTTTTATTTTTTCTTGCAGAAACTGCATATCGCATTTCGCAAATACATATTCTTTGGCCTTGTGATGCATTTATATAGTGTAGATTATTTGTTTTTTATGCTTGATAACTTCAGAAGAACAAAAACCTACAGAGAATTGAAAAGTCACAGAAAATACCCTTGTCAATCTGCGGTGTCTTAAGCGTAGTTTCATTCGGATAACCGAAGTGAAAAAATGTGCAGTCCATGCTATTGCATAAGATACAGGCTGTACATGTAACATAATCGATAGAGAATTGAATGAAATTAATCAAAAAATATTTCAGCGTTATAATGGTTTACGAAAATGAGTTAATGAAAAAAAAGGCAGAAACGATATCAAATGAAAACAAGGAATGAGCAACGAAATGGAGAACAAATTACTGCTAGTAACGCAGCATCATAAGGCATATCTTCAACTTCATTTTGATTTGCATTCTTAGCTGGCATGACATTTTATAGTTAACAAGCCGTACACCCGCTGTGCAATGGATGCCACCTGCTACTGGATGCCGCACTCTTACATTGAGCGACATTCGTCAGACAAAAAGCCTAACGCAATACGGCATAACCTGGGCGAGACTCTTGATGGAACTTTGGTATATTAATGTCAATACTCTGGCATACCATGAAACACTTTTAATGAACAAAGCAGCACTTATTGACCCCCTCCGTTCTGTCCCGCCCAAGGTTATGATAGATCTACAAAGATGTGTGGGAATGTTGGGTATTTAAAAAAAATGAGTTAGTAAGCTCTTTGGTTGATTCAAATTTCGTTGAGATATTTTACCTTTGATGTTTGATGCAGCAGATACCGAGGGCTTCCCGACCGAAATAAAGAAAGGATACAAATATAAAAAAAAAAGTAAATACAATAGGTGCGTCTGTAAAAACCCCCTAAAAACCCTGTGGGAAAAAAAAGGAGGAAAAGACTGCAAGAAGACTATTCACTAAAATACAAAATACATACTACAACTACAAAATAAAATGGTCGGGAAGAAATATCGAAGACGATACCACGGGCAGCAATCCATATGAGAGGAACCTGGGGAGGACGCGTCAGCGTTTCCCAATGAAAAAGAGAGTCACACCACCGACGATGCCTTTGACGACAAAAACCGGTTTGGCCACATTTGAGCGCGAACAAAGTAGAAAGATTTGGAGGGATGGATGACTTGCCAAGCGAAAAGAAAACCGGAGAGAAAACCAAAAGCTAAAGAAGGGGTAGAGAAAAAAGAACGTGAGTTTTTTCTTGTCGAAAAACGAATAGTCACATCACACAAAAGGTACCTTTTTGATAATACTCGACTTGACCGGTTACAGATAGACGCCGGATACACCATAGTCTGGATAATGGATGATGGATGTGGATGCGGGTGAGGATGCAATGATAGTGAGGGCTTTTCAGGTAAACGGAAAGAGGGAGAAAACCAAAGGAAAAAGAAAAAATTGAAGACAAAATGAATGAGTTCCCATGGATGAAACAATAGTCACTCTGCCAATGCAAGAATGATGATCAGGTCAACCACATGGGCCAAAAAGTGGAACATTTTGCGGTTGGTTTACCTTTAAATCAAACATTGTGCCGAAATAAAATATGTATACGGACCACACGTAAGCTTCTTCTTCGATGCGGAAAAGAAAATTGCTTGCAGAAACAGTTAAGCGGCGGAATATTTTTGGGGCGGTGGTGTCACCTTGAGCAGGGCCAAGATATTGATGTGGTCAGAAGTGCCGGTAATTTCGAGCTGGAGGCCAGATATCGATAGTTTTCCCGAGTAAAAATAAAAGAAAATAAAACTTGCGTCAGTAAAAATCTCACAAAAAACCCTGTGGCGAAAAAAAGAGGGAAGACTGCGAAAAGAATACTTACATGAAAGACGATATCAAGAGTAGGAATCCAAATGAGGGCAACATGAGGAGGACGCGTCAGCGTTTCCCGATGAGAAAGAGAGCCACACGACCGAAGATGTCCTTTGACGACAAAAACCGGATTGGCCACAATCTGGTGCCCGAACAAAGTAGAAAGATTTTGGAGGGATGGATGGCTTGAATGGCTTGCCAGGCAAAAGAAAACCGGAGAGAAAACCAAAAGCTAAAGACAGAATAGAGAAAAAGGACAGGTAAATTTTTTCTTGTCGAAAAACGGATAGTCGTATCACACAAAAGGTACCTTTTTTCATAATAATCGAATCGACCGGATCAGATACACGCCATAGTCTGGATGATGGATGATGGATGCAATGATAGTGAGGGATTTCCAGGCAAACAGAAGAGATGCAAAACTAAAGAAGAAGAAAAAATTCGGACAAAAATATGTGATTTTCCATGGATGAAACAATAGTCACCTCACTGATGCATGAATGATGAGCTACACAGATCGAAGCATATCTGCTCCATGTATCATTCGATTACTGAAGAGAATGAAAGGGCATATACAGTATAACTGAAAGATAACCCAAATTAAATGATGCTACAAAACACCAGATCGTCGTATCGTCAATCACCTTTCTTCAAAAAAGAGCTCCACTCACATTTTATGTGAACGGCGACGATGCTCTGTTTGACCACAACTGGCGCAAACGGCATCTTGCTGCTGATTGTTTCGCCTATTATCGTGAAAGTGGGCAGCGAGGCATGGTTGAAAGATGAAAAAAAGGTTTAACAGGTCTTGATAACTTAGTGTAGATCATGTGATTTACAAAATCGCTAATTTTTCAAAGATTTTTTTAATTATAGTTAATATATTCAATTGCGAAGTATCATAGAGCGATTACACTGCCTGGCTGGTCCATGTATCCCGGATCCAGTTTCTAGCTTATGAACAAGCAGATACTAGCCTTTAACCAGTAAAACCAATTTTTGCACCTACCGGATGAGCTTGCTGAATGGCATATCGGCCGTTAGCTTGCAAGTTTCATGCAAAATTGAGCATCGACAAAGCGGACCAGTAGTGGTGTAAATGATACAGTAGATCCTGCCAGCAGTTGGGCGACCGAGATCGTTTTTTTTTTTTTTTTTTTTTTTTTTTGGATTTGCTGAGCTTCCATTAAAGGAATCCGATCCATGGGTCATTAACACAGCTTGAACTAAACCTTCAAATCTGTCGACAAATTCCTATTTTTTCCCCCTCAAAAGTAGTCATCTAATTCAAACGAAAGCGCTATGCACACAGGTTTTTGCAATAAACTGCTGCAAAAAAATAGCCGCTCGACGTTTGCAAGGAAGCGAATTTGAATAATTTATTTCCCGCAATTTTAACCTTTTTGAAATCTGCAACTGATCATTGCATTCACTGAATCAAATTCTGTCATAGGAGAGTTTGTGTATCGTCGATCGAAAACAACTAAAGGGAGATGAACATAGGCATAAAGAGCAATGAACATGGAAGACAATCGAAAAGAAAGAAGAGGTAGAAAACGAATACGGCAGAGGATAGGCATCCATAAACAAATAACAGGATGATTGTGTCCTATCGTCATGCGCCAGTAATAGGGAATGAAAAGAAAAAAGCAAAACAAGAAAATAACAAACAATCGAATAAAAGAATATGATACAGAAGAAAGAAAAATGGACGCATCTTGTGCGGTAACCCAAAAAAACTCATTCCCACAGACCCAAAAGAATACAACGTACCAAAACACAATCGAAGAAACATGAGAAATAAAAAAGAAAGGGAAACAGAAGAATAAAGACGATAAAAAAGAGAATCAAGAAAAGGAAAAAATATACACAGACAAAGAGAAAAAAAATAGATTGTGTTTGCAGGGATAAAGCTTGGGTTGTGAAGATAATGATGGGTATGTGAAAATGATAAAAAAAAAAGGAGACGCACAATAAACGTGGTACGGCACTACGAAGCCGCTTCAATCTTCAGCATCGACCGCAATCCCCGTTGAATTTCTGAGAGAGCATGATCAGGTTCAATGGGATACTTTGACGAGCGGCCGGTAGAAGCATGAGTGGTGGGAGCCAGAAGACTGAGGAGATCCTTGGATTGTTGCTCGAGTGCAAGGGGATGATGATGGTGAGTGCGGCGAGGGTAATGGTGAGGATGATGATGATGATGATGGTTTTCAAATAGGAATATCTCATCATGATCATGAAGGAGATGATGACGCATATGAAGATTCATGGAAACAGTGTGTGGTCGGTGAGTTTCGGAGAGCACCAAAGCAGTGGCAGAACCATCTTCTTCGATAAAGGCAGGCATGGGCAATGCGCTAGGAGCCGGGGCATTGTTAAAAGTTGGACCAGCATAAACCTGGCTGCGCAAATCCACCACACTGCTGGAGCGACGACGCTGGCGGACATTCTCTTGCCTAGCAATAAAAACCATCAAGTTTAGACAACTGATACACTCCGATACAAATAATCCCACGAATCTAACAAACTCACCTTTTTCGAGGTTGATGTAGCGGGGGAAAAGCGGCAGCTGGAGGGATGGATTGGTGCGACTGTTTTTGATTATGATTAGGAACTTGAAATCGAGGAGACTTGGTGACCATCTTCTTCTTGTAAGTGGTGTCGGAATCATCAGAATCAGTAGAGCTAATAGACGTAAAGGAAGGCGGGCTAGTGCTAAGTTCATGGTCCATCTGCGCTTTTTGAAGCGCATCCGTCACAGAACCAATTTCCCTTCGACGCTCAGCTCGACGAGCTTTGGCCGTTATGATCGGTCGCTTCGGATGAGGCGTGTTTGGTGCCGATGGTGATTTTTTCTTCAGCGGTGCAGATAATGAGCCACTCGTTGCTGGCTTCTTGACACTGACATTTACCCGAACGACTGCGTGAGTTTTCTTGTCCGTCTCTTCTTCTTCCTTCTTGTCATCTTTCATGGTCTTCTTCTTCTTGTAAGAAGAGTGACGGTGGGAAGACGGCGACTTTAACTGATGGGCCGTAGGCTTCTGTTTGGGCATCATGGGTTTAGCTGCAACGGCTGATTGATTGACCGCCGCTGCTGCAACGTTATGCCTTGGTCGAAATGATACAGCTCGATTGGACATGGGAACGAAAATAGGAAAGAATAGGAGAAATTATTAAATCGGAAAGAAGATGAGTGTAAAAGGGAGATCGTGTAAAAAGATGGCTTGTTGAGTTATGGGTCTTTGCTACAGATTCTGATTGTTATTCATTCGTTTGCAAAGGAAAAAAAAAGAATAAAAAAATTCGGTCGACTCATGGGCTTTAGATCTATTGCGAAAAAAAAACCAGCCACAATCTAATTTTTAATTGGTGCACCCGTCGTCCAATCACTGACATCATTCGATAGTGGAGTCAGCTCCGAAACCGGATAGTGAGACACATGTAGCATCCATGGAACTCAACGCATGGGAGACCGTAGGGAGAATTATCCCAGCGGGTGATCCCACCGGGGATATCAACAAAAGGGATACAGCATACAGCATAAGGAGCTTAAAATACAACGCCTTTTCTTTTGCATGTCAGTGAAAGCGTTTGGGAGACTACAGTAAAAAATAGAAAACTGCACCAAAAAAAACCTTGCTTTTTTTTTCTGTGCTTCATTTTTATTGTTATGGGTGCTGAGTTTTCCTCCTTTCAATGCTTACTCGTTCCTTTTCCTTTACTATTTCTTTATGTCACGAATACCCGGCAAGTCTTCCATCATAAGCGGAAGTCGACTAGCGAAACCTCCGCATATGCTTGATACCCGACCCAAGTTACAAACCATCCGTTCCTCATCCCGCTCGGCAGATGAACGTGATCCGTCTCACTTCATGCCTCGTTCCTCATTATCTTCAGACACCGAACAAAATTCCCCTCAACCGTCGTTAATCACACCACCAACTACTCCTTTTATCAGCAAACCGACTTCGAGACGACAAGTCTCCTCCGCTCAGCGGTATGCCACGCCCGTTGATTCAGCGGAGGCCGTTTTCACTGTTGGCACTCGTGTCCAGGTTAAATCTCTCAATATCGTAGGCACTCTTCGCTTTATAGGTGAAACGCGATTCAAGACCGGTACTTGGGCCGGTATTGAGGTCGACACCGTGGGTGCAGGCAAAAACGATGGATCGGTTGATGGGTAAGTCAATGTCCGTCCATGTAAAAAAAAAAACCCCGCTTATATTAAAAAAGAAGAAAACCTAAAAAATCGAATCAGAATCTCTTATTTCTTGTGTGCTCCACGCACCGGTATCTTTGTGCTAGCTTCCAAAATTGTACCTGCACCTTGTACCCAAAAGAATAAAGGACATCGGCGGATCAATGGAAATGCTGCTTCTACACGGATTGTTACCAACGTTACTCGTGCCCATACAACCGATGTTCGGCACTCGCCCTCCCAACCGGCAGGCTTGCCTACCTATTCTGTTGTTTCAGATCTGCCGTCTCCTGCTACCACACCAACGAGTATCAATCAACCGGACAGTGAAGCAGAAGAAGACCACGGTTCTACAACGAAAATCCTTAAACATTTCCCGCAAACAGTATCGCCACCATATCGAACCAGCGCTCCAAGTCACGCCGATACCCAGACAGAATTACAAAACCCTCTGCAGCAATCAATCGATGCATCGGCTTACGATAAAATTGAACAGCTATCACATGACATCGACATGCATATGATGGATAAAAAGCGCTTATTAGACCAAATTAGCAACTTGGAGCTCCGCTGGTTAGAGCACGAAGAGAAGGATCTCGTCAGCCAAGAAAAGATCAAAAAATTAGAAGATGAATTAATGCGGACGAAACTCCAATTGGATCAGAAAAATGAAAAATCCGAAGACCGTGAAAAGCACATTAACCACCTGGAGGATCTGGTAGACGAATTGAAGAATGCCGGCTTGGAAAGCATCAATATGTACGAGAGTTACTCTCAATTGCATCGCGCCGATGTGCAAGCACTCAATGAAAAAGTGGACGCGGAGATACGCAAAAACCAAGCTCTACGGGAAGAACGAGATGATTTGCGGAAAGCCGGTCTGGATGCCATTGAAGTGTACGAAACAACTATACAAAATCTGAGAAACGAGCATACACAGCGACTCATGGAGGAGAAAAACAAGCGATCCGAATTAGAGAGCATTTTGGAAGAGCTACGGAAACAGATGACCTCACAAAAAGAACAATGTCAATCCGCTATCCATTGGCAAGAACAGTTCGAGCAACTACAGAAAGCAACTGAAACCGAAGAGTTTATTCAGAATCATCCAGTTTACCAGCGTATGCAGCAAAAGTTTGATGATGCCCAAAAAGAAGCTGACCGCCTTCGGGATGAATTGGACAAGGCAAGACTTGACTACGCCAAAGAGATAGAAGCTCTTCACGGCAAACAGAATGATACCGAAAAATTACGACGACGAGAAATCAATACCCTATACCGAGATATTTCGAATTTGGAAAGTTTGATCGAAAGCAAAAGTTTCAAAGAAGCTGATTTAAAGGAATCACTGGCGAAAGAAAAGCGGAACATCCAACGGCTACGAAGTGAGCTCAACTATCTGAAGCGACGTCATACCCATAACCAGGGAGGCTCGCGTAGTAGCAGTAGTACATGGCAAATGAGCCGCCGCCGTACCACTCTCACCACACTATCAACGTCGCTGTCGTCTTCCAGTGCATCCGAGGCCGAACTGGAACCAAGAGAAGATGAAGATGCTTATTGTGAGATTTGTGAACTTACTGGTCACGACTTGATGAATTGCTTGGCTGTCATCGAAGACCAACGACGCCGCGCCACCTTAACCAAGATAGGTAAGCAGGCTTGATACTGATGACATTTGCATAACAGCGGTACTAATCTCACTTTACAGCTACTATTTAATTGCATATTGCAGCCTTTTTCTCTCTACTACTATTGAATATTCTGATAATACTATAATTCACAAATCCGATAATGGATCCCTCTCATCTGATTTTCTGCATCCCCATAATGACCCGCACCTTTTTCAATAATTCGCACCTCCCAGTCAATCCTTCCTTCCTTTACTGCCATATCACTCCTTACTTCCAATCATGTGAATAATTTTTTGACAATGAAAACAAAATAGAATATGATAAGCGGTATGATGCCAACATTCGGCGTAAAACCATATGCTATGCTGATTGTTTTGCTATTGACGATAAGAATACCCCTTAAGCATTGAAGGCGTCTATTTTTGATAGTGTCGCATCTCTTCTTCTTCTGTAAAGGAAGTTTCATGACTGTTTCGTATGAAGGAGATCTATAATGTGCAATTATGTTTGAAATTCTAAGCAGTACTTGTCATGCACTATTTCTATAAATGGCCAGATCCTCGTACTAGACCCATGTCTTTACGGGCATAGTAGGCTTGCAATAAATGTTTATTCTTTATTTCGCTGCTGAACGTATAAATACGTCTCTAATTGGACCTTTCGGTATTTGTCGGGATCACAAGGATTGAAACGATTTAGGGTAGCACGAGGTTAATGAAGGATGCTACGCCTCACAGAATAAAAATTTATGAGAAATGCGAATGTGATAATTTTACGAGAGATTACATAAAAGGAATGGATAGAAAATAAATAAGTAGATTAGTTACTGTATACAGTTCAGGATTAAACATTATTGCATGCTGGGGAAAGGATGATCCTCTTGTTGATGTTTTGCCAATTCGTCTAGTACTAAGCGACCTTTGCGTTTTTCGTCACTTCGTCCGAGGGTCCAAATTTGCGCGTATCGCTCAAACTTGAGTTCCTTTGGGTCTTTCAAAACGTAAAATTCGCCATCGCACATGATGCAAATGATATTTTCGCGTTCATAACGGTTTGTAAGACGTCGTTTGATCCATGACCATAGGCCCTTTTGCTTTTGGTTGTTTTCGGGTGGAGGTCGAAACCGCACAGTGAATGGTGTTTCGAATTGTCCAATCCGTGAAACGTGTTGCCGTATGTTGGCAAGCTTCTTAAAGTAACTTAACAAGTCATTGATCACCATAACTTCCATACGTCCATCATTGGCAAGTTGCGGTCGCCAATTATCTGGATGAGTCGCGCCAGAACGATTTCTAACAGATTCAAGGCCGTATTTCGCTTCTCCCCACAGATCGACTTCTCTTCCCCTGCCAAGGTGTAAGAGTTAATGGACATTTCGTGTATTATCCCGATGTATAGCCAATAACCTACCATATGTGTGGAATATTTTGAATCACGAAATCGATAGGATGCTTAGTCATCTCAGGTGTGTGATTTGTACTACTCGATTTGGCGCAATGCACTGCCGCAGCTCGTCGACTCGTTTTACTGTCAGATTTTTTCCGCGGATCCGGGCAACGAAGTACCGGCTCTCCATCTCGATCGAGAATAGAGTCGATGAAATGAGTAACTGGAGGAAATTTACGGAGAAACACCCATTTAGCACTTTCTTTGGTGTAGACCATGACGTTGGCAAAGCGGTTGCCGGCTCGATGCTCCTCGAAACCACTGCCTACGTAGCCTTGGACACCAATAGACATATAGTTGCACATTTTCCTTTCTAAGCGTGGATTGTTGCTATATTCGCGATCGTCTTTTATTTCGGCTACGTCGTGACCATCTTGGCGATGCGGTCCGGCAAGTCTTACGTAGCCTGAAGGATGCGCTGTCATTTCAACCTGCCAGATATCCAAGCGGGCGGCTTCGGCTTTCTCCAGCCGCTCAGTCACAAGTTCCTCAAGGTGGGCCAGTCGACGACCAAGAACATCACTATGCGGGATGGTGCGTCCCCATCCAAGCACCTGACTGAAATCGTTGCCGGTGCCGAAGGGAATACCTGGATATTAAGAACAACAAAAATCTTTTCGTAAATAATGGAGCCAATGTCATGTCATGTCATGCGCGTGATGGCCGCTAGTGTCATTTGACAGCTCCAAAAGAAGAAATCACTCACATGAGAAGAACAGACAGTTCATATCAACGCGATGAGCCACAAGCATTTCAAACACACTCATGACAGTGCCGTCCCCGCCAGCACTCCAAACGTGAATGTGACGAGTACGAGCTGTTTTGCTGAGCGCTCCTCCATTTCGCTGTTTTTCTTCCAGCATGTCTTCATCCGTGGGCAAAGCAGGTAATTGTTGAAGTTTAATCATATTTTCAATCAGCTGAATACGTTCAAGACCGGCCTTGCGGTCGACAGAATCCAGTATATTATGAATTTCCACTTGTACTCTTGGCAGCCGTCGTAATCGAAAGTGCTGAATAGGTAAATGGATGAGGTCACTTCCCTTGCGGTCGCCGGAAAGAGGGTTAACAAAAATAAAAAGATAGATGCTTGGACGCCCTTCAGCATCGGTATCCTGGAATCTGACGGAGGTATCGATACGTCCTAGCGGCATCAGAGAAGGAGAACGATCATCGATGGATGCTAAAGCTGGCTGCGTTGTTATGCTCGTGGAGGATCGTTGCGAAGTTGTTGGCGTCTCACTAAGAGTAGGCGTGTCGTCTGAAGGATCGTTATTCATCGGATGAATAGCAATATTGCTGATATCGATACCAGCGTTTGACATCACAGGTACACAAGGTACTTTGGGAGAGAACATATCGCCAATAAGGTTGGCGGTGTACATCTCCTCAGTCATGGTGCGAAAAAAAAAGAAGATTGAAATCAATAAAAAATTGGTGGACAAAAAAAGCTGAGTAGAAAAGAAAGGACAACGACAGATTGTTATCCATGAGTTTCTATGATCATAAAATTTCCATTTGAGAAGATTCATGATATCATAAGGGAAATCTGAATGTTGTTCAGGCACTCTTCGGAGTTAAAAAATAAGCATGGCCTGCATTGTGATTGTTTGTTTCGTTTCCTCCATACGACGCACAGCGTTTTCATCTTGAGTTCGTCAACACATGCATGTGAAGTGAATAATATGAGCTTACCCAAATTTCGCATTAATAATAGAGCGTGAAAAGAAAGCCTTTTGATACAGATTGGAACCGCACCATAATGTCTATCCGTATCGCTTGACTATAATACGAAGCGACCAATCAAAGGGCGAGTTTACGGGGAAGGTTTGTTGGACTACGCAAATTTTTAGTTCCGTAATGGAGCGCGGAATATTACAAGTGCCGGCGGAAAAGGAATAACCTCCAGCGCAGAGTGGTACAAACTTTCTGTTTGGCCACGCTCCCATTGTTTAGTGTAAATAGCCCATATCATGGACCAGTTCCATCACCATGATCGGACATTCATAAGCTAGATCAATAGCCTGACAACCTTGAAGCAAATGTATCCGATCCGATTATTTTAGCTGTTTTATATATGAACCTGTTGTTAGCAGAAGGTTCACATTTATGTATCTCCTTATTTTCGGTTTTTTACAAATTAAGCAATTTTATTTTCTGTGTTTTTTGGGTCGTTCCATGAATGACGGTAGGCGTTTTTCCGATCTTTTGTTTCCCAACCATGTGCTTTAGCGCAAGCTAGCCATAAAACTTGTAATCCCACTAGTACACCTTTACTGTTTTTGTTGCTCACTAGTCTCAACGAATGATCTATTTACTCTCGGGTGAGAAAAATTGAGCGACAGGGTTAATCGTACAATTCAACAAACTCTCTTCACAGCGATCACTCGATTCAAAAAGACTATACGGCAACACTTTTCCCGCCAATCAGGAGAATTACCGATTTTGTTTTTAAGAAGAAACCATGTTTCCTCGGATCTTGCGGCGCCGTCAGTGAAGCTGTTGTATTTGCCCATTTGTCCGACAAGTGGAAAATTTTACACCCTTTGATTCGCATTTTTCTTTCGCTATTTATGTACATAAATGTTACAGTATTGCTCTTACGATGAGGTCATCAATTCAGTGAGGATCCTACTATGGAAGTATATCGTCTCATCGGTGACAGCTGTTTATGTTATGATGCACCATTTCGCCCTCTCCACCCGTTCTGTCACCAGGTTGCATCAGTTACAGAGATTCTTCGAAGTCCGAAAGTCGTACATTCACTCCTTGATCAACTGTATCAAGCCCAAACTAACCATACATAACATTTATTCTTCGATAGGAGAAATTAAGAATGAAGTGTGTCGTTTTGAGAACAATTTGGCTTTGTTCACCCTCAGATGGCTGAAGTGGATGTCAGGATTCATCTGTATTGAGAATATTTGTCTAAGCCGAATGCCAAAATAGCAGTTACATGCCAATGTTGCATAAAGTCATCCCCGAATCGATGCACTTCATCGATCGCTATTTAATGCACGATAGCACGTCATGCTCTTTTTGATCCATGTTTAATACCACTTATTTTAATGCCCCAGTCGTAAGTAGGCACAAACTTTCTATGTTAGATTGCAGCACCATAAATACAAATGAAAAGCAACCGAAATTGTCTCTTAGGATCTCATGTTAAGCACAGTCCATAGCCATCTTGACATTATCATATTCTGTGGCGTAGTAATCTGGTATTGTCAACTATATATCTATTCAGTGCCTAAATGGCTGAAATAATCAGCGTAGGGTGGGGTTTCCTGAACATTGCAAGCCGCATCACGGTCATTTAGTGATATGTGCTATTAACCTATACCGGTCTGATAACCGCAGTGAAACAGCTATACTACCGAACCTTTAAGGAATTAAGTGACTGAGAGCTCAGTCCCTTGTTTCCTACTTCACTGATCCGATAGTATTGCTGTAATTCGAATAAGAGATCGCCCCGTCTGTGTCCCTCACGCTGGATCTGAATTAGTCCTCTTGATGTGTTTCAGGTGAGAGTATCCATGGTAATTTCTTTACGGAAGTCGCTACTGTAGAAGTCTCCTTCCATTGGTAAAATTGTTGTGTTATGTAAGAATTGAGATTGCTCAAGTTATATATTCTTGAGTACATAATAGAACATTTGAAAAAATCTCATGGTCTACAACTGTGTAAAAAGCATGCTCAGCATTCGCCACAGCAAGCCAGTAGTAACACAACGAATTCAAAGGAAATCGCAAATAGCGTTATGTAAAGTGTAAAACAGTTTGTCCTGTCTGCAAATAACTTTAGGATGAGTAGATGCCAAGTTTCACAAGGCCATAAATATAAGCCAACAATCTATTGTGCGTGAGGCAACGAAGGAAGTTGCGATCAAAAGTCGCCGTTAATTCTTTCTACTCGTCCATATTTGTCTATGATCGAGAGGCGATCGTATGAATTTCGATTGTGTGAAAGCAGAGTGGGACGATGCAGTAGGCTCATGCAACCTGCTAGTAAAAAAAAAAAACTCCTAGACTATACGGTTGGAAGTCAAACCAAGCTATCAAACTAATAGCGACAAGTGAAGACCATGAATAGTACCCCCCATTGACGCTTACACTACAGCAATGGATAGGATCTTCAACCCCTTATTGTCGGCCCCTTACCATAATCTGACGTAGTATCCGCTATAATAATTATCGTAGTAAATACTTACTTTAAACGTTGTAGAAAAATATCTAATTTTTATTTGTCCCTACTATTTCCGCAGGAACCAGTATTCGATATCCTTTTAGTGCTTCCGTACCTGCATGAAGGCCGGAGCATCCATGCTACCGAAAATTTATGCCTAAAACCTGTAAATATTCAATAGACTGACATCTCAGCAATTTCCAGACATATCAAGCCATTGTGCATGACACATCCAACAAAAACCCTGCTGACGGATGGAAACCGTGGGGATTCTGATGCTTGCATGCAACTGAGCGGAACACCAAAAACTTCAAAGACCGCAAGCAACCTTTTTCACATGCGTTTGCGCCCCAGTCATTTTCCTCTCATTCTCTTTCTTCCGCACAATCTCACAACCCTGTGAAGAGGACAAAGTTAACAAATTCTCGGACGTGGGGAGGTAAAAAAATTAAATAGTCTCATTCTAATTTTGAGTCAGCATTAATTTGCTCAATTCGTCAGTTTACTTCTACCTTTATATTCGATTTCTCACCATTCTATTTCTTCTCGGTTTACTCTTTTGTTCGTCTCCGCCCCATTTGACTTTGCTGCCTTACTGCCTTTGCTTCTAAAACAACACCTATCCGCTTATCCATCCATATGACGATCTCTTTGAAGGACTCCACCGATCCTAATGCAAAGGCTGCCTTGGCGCGTTTGCAGCAGCTCAAATCACAGCTGAATTTGACCCCTTCCGTCATGTCAAGCCAGGCACCAAAAGATATGGCTGAGGAACGCGCTGCAGCTGATTTTAACATTGAAGCACTCGCTCACTTATGGCATGGAGGTCAGAAGGAATACGAATTACTCGTAAGTGGCAGTGATCAAAGTATCGATGCCTGTGAATCAGTCTCTTACTGCATATAACGACAGCAAAAAGCGTATGAGGAGATCAAAACAGATCCCGAACTTGTAGTCCAGTCCCCTCGTAACTTCTTGGAGTTATCACGAGACGAAATGCGTGAATTGTAAGTTTTCACTTTCTCTAGTTGTATAAACGCAAAAAGGTAGCACGTATTTACTCATATCTCAATACAGCACGATGGGTCAGATCTTCCGCGTTATCCAAATTTTCAAGGATCCAGTCAAAGGCGCTGACAAGGAACTAGTCTATGAAATGGCTCGTGCCGTCAACATGTATTCTGAAAGCTTTTCCATGCGATTCTTTGTTCACGATTCACTGTTCCGCAATGTCGTTAACATGCTCGGCAACAAGGAACAGCAAGCTTACTGGAACCCAGAGATCGAGAACTTCCGAATTTTGGGATGCTTTGCCATGGTAAATAACCCTCATATCCACTGCCATTGGGTTGGCACGTAAATTTTTCTAACAAGCATCATTCTAGACCGAACTTGGTCACAGCTCTGCTTTGCGCGACATTGAAACGACTGCTACTTATGATATCGAAACCGATGAATTTGTGATTGAGTCACCCACAATTACTTCTACCAAATGGTGGATTGGTATGGCTGCCCAAACTGCCACCCATACGGTGTGCATTGCTCAAACCGTCATCAACGGAAAGAAAGTCGGTCTCAACTGGTTCGTCGTACAGCTTCGCGATAAACTCACAGGTGAACTGATGCCTTCCATTATGGCTGGTGATATTGGCCATAAAGTGGGACACGCTGGTGTCGACAATGGTTGGATCCAGTTCCGCGGGGTTCGTGTACCGCGAAGTCACTTGCTTTCAAAGTGGGTCGATCTCGATCGCCAAGGCAACTACACGCCTGCTCCGAATCCTGCTGTTATGTATGCTACCCTCATTCCTGAACGCCTATCGCTCGTCACCGTGACTACGCAGATGATCTCGCAAGCCCTTACAATCGCTACACGTTACGGTGTGGTCCGTCGACAAGGTCCCAAGAATCAGCAAATCATGGATTATCAGTCTCACTACGTCAAACTGTTACCTGCTATTGCTTTCATGTACATGGTAAAATCCGCGTCCGGTACGCTTGATGACCATTTCAAGATTCTCACAGCAGGCGGAGAAATGGATCCTATTGTTTACTTGAATCACATGGGCGACATGCACGCTATTTCCGCTTGTCTCAAAGGCTTCGCAGGTTGGTACTCCTCTGAAATCCTCGAAACCTGTCGCCGTGCTTGCGGTGGTCATGCTTACTCGGCTTACAATGGTATTGGCCACATTATCGGTGACTGGGGTGTCATGACGACCGGTGGCGGCGACAATGTGGTGCTTCTTCAACAAACAGCTCGCTTCCTTTTGTATCGACTCAACCAGAGGCTCGAATTTAACGAATACCCTGATCTCAAATTCAAGAGTTCCACCCATTATATCAGAGACGCCAAACAGTATCTTGCCTCCTCACAATGGCACGTAAGAGATGTTTCCGCTTGTCTTCAAAATTTCGGTTTGATGGAAGAAGCTATGCACGCAATTCTTGTCAAGCGTCTCAACAGTATCCAACAAGGCCTCAAGAGTGGATTGTCAACAAATGATCTGCTCCTGGAATCCGTTCGTGTGGCCGAGATGCACTGCGCTGTTTATATGTTTACCGTCAGTGCCGAGAAATACAGTCAAGCAGCCACAGCTACTACCTCTGACAAGAGTGTCCTCTCGATTATGCATCGTCTCACCACTCTTTGGGGTCTCCATGTCTTGCATACTTTTGGCGATCAAGGCTTCAAAGAAGGTTATCTCTCACCACAGCAGATAAAAGATATTGAAAAGATCTATATGGAATACAACAAAGGATTACGCAAGCAAGTCATTGGTCTCACCGATGCTTGGGGTTTCCCAGATTTTGTTATCAAGGCGCCAATTGCCAAGTATGATGGCGATATCTACGAAACCTACTTTGATACCCTCCTGCAAGCACCTAATAGTACCGGTGTGCCGTCTTACCATGGTAGATATATCAAACCATTGACCGAACGTGTTGCAGACAATAAATAAGACACAGCTTTCTTTTGTTTTTATGATCGGTATATGGTACTTGAATCCAATAAATTGATATTTGCAACAGGATTAAGCTCTAAATCATACCAAATCCCTCTGCATTGCTAATGCTAATTAGTAATCTTTCCTTTAACTTCTCCTTGCTGCTATACTCGCATAACAGCAGCACATTATAACATGTATGTGACGTCGGTAACCTAGATACAGAACATTCCTATGAGCATTTTTCACTCAGATAGGGCTGGTCAACGATCATGACTTACCTATCAGAGTCAGCGCCATTCTTTGCAATGACAAATTGCAGTTTGCCCAAGCCACCAATGGGTGCTCGATCAGATCCAGTGGCGAAAAACAGCAGTTTCTTTTTCTCTTCATATGAAAACTCTCGCACAATTTCCCAAAAATATCTAGATAGAAAATAATGACTATGGAGACGTTCTTCAAAAGCTGTTGCAGATAACTTACCGTATAATTGGTGAATCTTGTGTCCATCCTCCATCATACACTGTCGCTTTCTCCAATGCATCAAAGTCCAGTTCGGAACTACCGCATATTAACTGCTCCAATTCTTCCGGGCGAAAGATCTGTAGACTTTGTTAATAAGATCGTTGTCCGCGATTTTTTTTCCTTCGTATGTTCCGTGCGGATTACTGTACCTTGATAGCGCTGTCTTGAGATATTAACGCGAACCCTGTCTGGAAAGCATCAAACTGGTCTTTTACAGATTCGTTCAAGGTAAAGCTGACGTACAGATCGACAAACTCTGTGAATAATATAATCAACCACGTTATTATTGATTTGAAACATCGACGATTGGATGACTACCTTTCTTATTTTCTCGCGTCAAATGAACAGATACGCCATTGGGTATCAAATCGTAAGTGTGGATATGGCCATAAGATTCAATATCGACTTGGAATGAACGATCGTATTCGGATTCAGTTTCACCTTCGAACGATAGCAAACGCCTTAAGCCTCGTGCTAAACTCTGATATTGGTAGTTAGGGACATTTCAGTTCTGATAACGGCATCTGTTTTTTTCTTACGGGATCTAATTGCTCAAGATCTTCCAAGCCAACTTCCACGTTCATGAGCTTCTTGTACAATGCAGGCGGAAAATGGAGATCGAGGGTAATACTGTTGTATACAGCAAGGCCCAGTAATAGACCAACGAGTTTGTACTCTCTTGCTGTTAACTCGTCAACCGCGGGATTTGGTACGAACCAGTATAACCGCGATTCTTCATTCAACGCAAACATTCCTAGCATAGGTTTGTCAATGACATGAGCATTTCAATCGAAAAACATAGTGTTCCAAACACCAACCGTATTTTGCATCAAATAATTCTCTAACGATGAGCTGAAAGAACTCTTTCTGTACACCACCTTCGTCTACAGCTTCTTCTCCAATAAATTGTATCCGCAGTTGCTTCCGTAAATCATAAATGGACTTTTCTTCCAGCTGTGTGCCGATAATTGAAAATGGAGGCCTTTTGAGTTCCGCTGCTGTTGATGCGATTATATTGAGCCGTACCTGTTGAAGGGTATCCTGAATGATATGATCCCGCCGAACTTCCAAAACCAGATAGGGACTATTGACTCCTTGAAATAATGCGCGGAAAAAAGCATCTTGCAACTCGTGCCGCATTTGGAAGACGCTTTCCACCTTCAAAATATCCGCTTTGACAACGGGATTTAAAATGAATGAATAGTTCCAGAGTGAAAATCTGGAACAGCAAGTTAGGATTATCGTGTAACATGACAATCATGCGATGGTTGCACATTACCCTTTGTTTTCCTTGAACATCGGAAAATCCTCTTTGATATCCAAATGGTCGTTGATTGTATCATTGTAAAAGTCAACGTATGGCACATAATGTTGGCACTCATTGAGGCGATCTATCGAACAACGTCAGCCTACATTCAATGATGTTTTAGTCCAAACAGCAACGTACACATCATGGCCAAACATTTGGTGGCATTGATCACCATGGCATCAGTATTCGGACTGAATAAGTTGACGGTTAATATGGACCGTGTACGAATAAGGTCATGAAAAACCTGCAACAGTTGTCGGAATGCGCAGGCCGTTTGTTGATGTATTGTTTCTTCCGTAATTTCCTCTGCCGGCTCGACTAGGAAGCGGCATAAAATGTCTTGTGCGTCGTCGGAAAGGTTGGCAATTACTTTGCACAGATCTGGAAGCAATGCGGTTGAAAACGCTGTATCCATGCATAAAGCACACTAATTTTCAACATCTGTTAGCATAATACTGGTTGACAGGTATTCCGCCCTCTTCTGTACCTGAAATGCAATAACAAGGGCGTTGAAATGGCTGCTGTCGATAGTTGTCTCTAGAAGAGCCAGACGAAGAAGCTCTGTCATTTTGATTGGGAGGCCCGACGGGCACTAATAATGGAGTGTAAGAGAGTCATAGGAAGTAAGCAAATCACAACGTCATGTACTTCTTTCACAAGGAAGTTGAGTGTCTCGCGTGCTTGGATCTTGTCTACGGAGCATAGCCTAAAAGGGGGCAGTGTAGGCTATGACAAGGCGCAGTTAGCGATAGAACAGTGTAGGAGTGAATAATCGTTACCCTGGCAAAACTGTTGCTTAAGAATGCGAGATTACCGAAAACGACATCTAAGCGGTAGATAAGTTCGTTCCAGTCTCCGGTCGATTTACACTGATGCTGCAATTGTTGAATAATATTGTAATCAACATATCCTAGCAAACATAAGCTGTCAAAATGATGTCGATGTGGTATTGATGGGTTTCCATACTGAGATCACTCATGAGCTTCAGAATAAGGAGAGAGTTGGTTGCGTCAGGAAATGAATCGAGCTTTGGTTTTATTGTCGGCGCTCGAATTTCTCAACAGATCTACTCTGCATGCCACTCCAAGCCATGGATTGATGCATCCGGATGCCTTTAGCTAAAATAAAAAATCTTGGAGTCCTAGGAACCATAACCAGAATAACCGTAGCATTTTTTTTGTCATTATCATCTCCTTGATTTGTTTGTTGGTAAGAGAACCATCTTTGGATACAGGGGACTTGGGACGTTTCCCCTCTGTCGATTCGAATTAGTATCTCAGTCGAGAAGGCGACCATACACTTGGCGCTGCCTAGGAATACTTTGTGGATGAGGTCAATATGGGCACAGCGGGATACATTGACATAACGATTTAGCTCCTGGAGAGCAGATCAACGAACGTCGGTTTCTCTCAAAATGATGTCGAGCTTTCGTATCGTTCACAAGGAATTTCCATCGCAGAACGCCTCCATTACTCTTTTATTTATTTTATTTTATCATGGATTTCCAGGTGCTCGTATTGAAACTGGCAGATTCTCTTTTCATTCTTCCTCGAAATACTTTGATGGATCGAACACATGGAAGCAAGCCCGAATACTATTGTGCGATGATAACCGTGCCAGTTTCCTAGCTGCGGGTGCGTTAATTTAATTTACTTGATTTTGAAATTATCATTGCCTGTACGATACTCAATCAAATTGTACGCTTACATCACAATCTTTCAATTGAACCTCATTCTGAAACAAGTGGAACGAAGTTCGAGTCGCAATAACTGTTTGCAAGACACTTTTCTTTTAAGCAAGCCTTCCCAGCAATCGTTGCCAACTGCTGCCGGCTGGTCAATGTAAGCTCCAGGCCAGGTGCGTTCAGAAGATAAATGTGACTGCAGATCCGCGCGGGCATTATGTATATTGATGCAGATGCACAAATAAATTCGGTTTTCTGATCACATACCGCGTTCCTGGCCCGTGCTTTTCTTTATTCAGACTTGTCGTAAAATCATTGGCGTTCATTGGCTAATTTACCGCGGGTTGCATTCGTCCGCAATTCTTGAGCTTTTCCCCCCAGCAGAACACAAACATGGATTCAGACGAAGAATTCTATGATGCTAAAGAGGTTTTCTCGCCTTGGGGTTCCACTGGTGGTAAAGACTTACTGTTGCGTTCTACTGAAATGCGCCATCTTACCTCCCGGTTTTCTGATCAAGCTCACGTTTCAACTTTAGTGGAAGGTGATCCATCCACACCGTCCCAAAACCGTAACGTCAAAGTACTTTTACAGAACCATGACTGCAACCTACTTAACTCCTATTCATTTAGACAATGCCATGAACGATAGTGAAATATCCGATCGCCCTGAGAATGTTTCCACGCTTTCCAGGGATAATTCGCGCCGCTCAGCAAAAGACGTGAAACGCCAATCAATGGATCCACTGTCGGCTCATATCAGCTATCGCATGAGCCAATCCTATGCTACACGAGTAACATCCCCATTACCGCCTACACAAGAGGAGGAGAACGAATTACCGGATGACCCTGTCCCAGACGGAAACGCCCTGGAATCACAGCATCCCACTCCAACTGCAGACGAAGCTTCCACGCACAGATCTACAAAGTAATATCATTTCTCTCACAATTTGTTTTCAGTTTTTCTATTGTCGAATTTTCCATTAACATGTCTTTATTAATTTTTTCAAGGAAAAATGCCAAGAATTTTTTATCAAGAATACGACTACGCCGATCCGCCAAGACGCAGGAAAGCCGCGACGATACCTCGCATCATAGTACAGCTTCGTCCACTTCATCTACCAGTCAGACGCGTCGAAGCCTGGAATCAAGTCGCTCAGCTTTACTATCTAGTCTTTGCAATTCAGCACAAACACCGCCCCATGGGGGACGCTATGTGAAGGTAAGTTTCACCGTGCTGCGCATAATTGTACGGTTACTCAATCTAGAATCAGATGAAATCGAAACTCAAATCGGAAAGAAAATTTTCGCGGTTACTACTCAGCCAAACATTGCTCACCGCTGCTAGTGCGTACGCATCCTCTATCAGCCCAGCAACAGGTAGATCGGGTGATTATGAATCTCAGGGCGCTATCTGGGCCATGAAATTTAGCAAGGATGGCAGATACTTGGCTACAGGAGGTCAAAGTTGTGTATTGCGTGTATGGAAAGTCCTTGATGCGCCGTATGAGGAAGATAGCAAGAAGAAAGATACGATGAAGGTATTTGAGGAGAAGCCTGCACAGGAATACCATGGGCATGTTGCCGATATCCTTGATATAAGCTGGTCAAAGGTAAAGCTTACAACCTGAAATACAGTAGCGCAGCTAACATATTTTAGAACAACTTTTTATTGTCAAGTTCAATGGATAAAACCGTACGGTAAGATTTATCCATAGTGATGCGAATACTTGATGTTCACTAAATTTAGCGTCTCCTGGTGATAGATTATGGCATATTAGCAGACAAGAATGTCTCTGCGTATTTCGTCATCTGGATTTCGTGACAGGAATTGCGTTCCATCCATCCGTAAGTTCAGTCACTCCACCTACAAAAATAGATGACTGATAATGGATATTTCTTTTTGGAAAAAAGGATGATCGCTTTTTTCTCTCTGGATCTCTGGATTGTAAATTGCGGCTGTGGAGCATCCCGGAAAAGAGAGTCGCATTCTGGAATGAAGTTCCTGACGGTAACATGATTACAGCCGTCGGATTCACTCTGGACGGTCGTACTGCATGTGCGGGATCACATGTGGGAGAAGTTTTTTTCTACGATACCAAAGAACTCAAGTATAACACTCAAATTACCATCAAGAAACGAAATCAGAAAAAAGGCCGTAAAATCACCGGTATTGAGGCGATGCCAGGGATGCCACCAGGCGAAGAAAAACTTTTGATTACCAGCAACGATTCTCGTATCCGTCTTATCAACATGAAAGATAAAAGCTTAATATACAAATATAAAGGGCTTGAAAATCTTTCGATGCAGATACGTGCGACATTTAGGTAAGACCTGAATCGACGGTCATTAGCAAACCTGTGTAACTCACAAGAGACGTTTTTAGCGATGATGGCAGTTACATTGTGTCTGGTTCCGAAGATTGCGATGTATATTTATGGAACACCGAACAAGAAAATCTGTCACCCTTCTATTACTTACAAGAGGGACATTCAAAAACGATTGCTGGTGTAAGCCAGCTTACTGAACAGATGTTAGCAATGTACCATTCCGACGATAATCGAGGAAGCAGCAAACGTCGTGGTGGGTGGCTCCGAAATGGTAGTGGCGATAATCACGTCCGTAACCGGAGTGAGCATTTTGAAGCCCATCAACAAGTCGTGACGAGCACTGTGTTTGCTCCCATGCGGACTCGACAATTACTAGGCAGGACCGGCACTGATATCATTTACAACTATACCCCTGTTTATACCTCGATCGACAAACCTGTAAACGACCGTCAGGACAGCGAGCACGTCATGCGTACCTCTTTTTCAACAAGTAGCCAGCTTCATGGATCCATGATGAAGGAATTCGAGGAGGCTGATCTTGAGGCAAGACGAAAATACAGCTATTCAGAAGGTCAAATCATTGTGTCGGCCGATTTCCATGGTTGTCTCAAGGTATGGCGCATGGATTGCGGCGTATATCCCACGAAGCGAAATAGCATGGACGCCATCTCTCTCGGTAGTAAAAATCCACTGATGACCATGTCCAGCATACATTCCAATCACAGCGTGGACGGTGATCACAAACCAGCCTCTGTAAAAAGCCAACGACAGCTCTTTGGCATTTTTTCATCCACTAAAAAATAGCACAAGTCCATGCTTTAATAGAAAGTCTCTTCATCCATGAAATATCAAGTAGCATAGGTAAAAATCTCTGCTTACTGTCGATCACATGCATGCGTGCATTAGCCCACCATATTTCTTAACAGGTTCTGATGTGATTCAAGTCCGACGATGGAGATACGTTTTTTGTCATGCTCTTCTTTTATTAGTTAGTTTATGAACAGAGAAAAGGGAGTTGGATAAGATAGGAAGGAAAGAAGAGTTAATACAAGGCAAATGAAAAGAATTGAGATATTATTTTAGGTTAATGATCAATAAGATAGGGATGAAGAATGCTCAAAGGACGAATGTCTATGATAAAGAAAAAAAGATTGGAGAGCTCAGGCAGCACAAATCAATCAAAAGAAAAAGGGCAAAATGACCAAGCCTTTACTGCTTAGCCATCATTTCTCTGACCTTCTTCTCGGGATCGGAGATGGCGTACCAAATAATGGTACCCATACCAACAAGAGCGGCTAAGATACAGCCGGCCATAGCACCCTTGCCCTTGGCAGTGAAACCATCGTAGATAAGAGTAATGCCGCTGGGAGCACCGCTCAAGTCGAGGCCTTCCTTACCGGCACCATTACCGGTGGCCTTGATACCGCTGGCTTCGCAGACGTCCAAGAATTGCTGGGGCAAGGTCATGCGTTGCTGAGCAACGTCAGGGGCTTCGATAAAGATGGCAGCAAGACCACTTTCCAAATGCCAATCAATATGACAATGGAAGATCCAAACACCGGGGTTATCAGCGCGGAAACGAAGAATGGTAAAGCTTTCAGCAGGCACCATGACGGTGTCACGACGAACAGGATTTTCGTTCACCCATTGCACGTCGGATGTGTTTCCAGAGTACACACCATCACCGCGAGCAACGATTTGGAAAACGTGGCCGTGCAAATGGAAAGGGTGGTCACCACTATCCAGGTTATTCAGCACCAATTCAATCATATCGAGATGCTTGAACACGGTAGCGATGGTTTGAGGACCGTAGACAGCAGCATTGGTGGCAAGATCGCCCATAGAGAACATGGTATTGAGGGTAGGGACATTGGGTGCAAGGTAAGGCAACTCGTTGAACATGCCACGGTTAAAACCATCAGTAGTAACATCAAAATTGAATGTCAAGTTCACTTGATGATCGGGAGCCACGGCCGATTCCTTCAACAAAGGAACGAGGGAGATATCATCAAAGTCGCTGTCCATACCAATATCTTCACTGGAAGCGAAGTTGTTATGGGACTCATCATAGTAGATAGGGGCGGTAAGGTCTATAATAAACAAAATAAGTATGATATTTCTTTGGGGGGGGGGTCCACATCAAATAGATTGAGACTTACTTGTCTGCAAGTCGTCAGGAAGAGTATCGAACATGCCAGTATCCATATCAGCATGCATGTAGTAATTGAGATTGGTAGCATTTTTGGTAGAGACCAAGACAGAGAAACGTTGGGCAGCAGTGAGGTAGAGACTCTTGACGGTTTTGCGCTCGGTATCAATCTAAACGATCGGATTTTTTTTTTTTTTAGATTAGAGGAACGAAAGAAACAGGGTACATCATTCAACTTACGCCGTCGACTTCAATAATGTCCATATCATGACCATCAATACTGAAGAAGAAAGTGGAGAAACCGGAAATGTTAATGAGACGCAGACGATAGACTTTTCCAGGTTTAAAATGGAAGGTAGTGTTGGCACTATCGTTGATAAAGCCCGACTGGGGAACAGGCTCAGCACCAGTGGGGTTTTTGATGTTCAAGAAGGTAGCAAGGTTGGTGTAACTGCTATCGTGGTACCATTCTACAAGAAAATTCCAAAATTAGTAAGAAGACAGACAAATTAGACAAATTCTGTTAAATTTACCTGAAAGAGTAACAGTGACCTCCTCATCATATGCATAGGATTCGTTGGGGTTATGAAGAATCATTGGTGAGCGGAAGCCGTCCATATATTGACCCTAAGCAAAATAATGTTACAACGTAATCATTTAAGTCAAAACACTAGCTACACGTACCATGTAATGACTGTGGGCCCAGTAAGTACCAGTTTGAGTAATGTTGAATTCGTAAGTGAAATCATAGTTTGGAGGTATAGGGCTAGAAACAATCGTAAGTAATGGTTCAGCAGTAATGACATTGTGACGAGATGATAGGATATCTTACCATTGAGTAACCATGGAAGGACCATCCATCCAAACGGAGCCGTTTTGAAATTGACCGTGGAAATGGAGGGCAGTGGGCTCATTCAAGGAGTTGTGCAAGTTGACAACCAAGGTGTCACCCAGAGTCACTTCAATCGGTGGCGGCCTGATAACGGGAAGATAAGTAAAAAAAAACATTGAATATGTCAAGCCAAAGGTGAAAGATACTTACGGCCATTTTCCGTTGATGCCAATGACTTGACGTTCCTTGAGGTTATCTGGATTTGCGTTGACGTAGGTGACATTCCAGTCATAGACTACGCGTGCAGCTTGAACAGCACCAAGCGATGCAACACCGGCTAACAAACTGCTGATAAGACGCATGGTCGAGATGCAGAAAATAAGTGAAGGAACAGAAAAAAATTGACAAGATCTCGCAAAAATAAATAAGAAAAATTTTTTGTTTGGCGACGTAGATTGCCCAAGTTATCAGATCGGGAACCAATTCATCAACGGACCCCACGATGGTCCATTATCAGCATTGATTTCTCCGACCGAGGCGGCGCCAAAAGCTGGTCGCGTATCTTCTGTCAATCTGAAACATCTTTCTGGACTCCCGTTGGTCAACGTTCGCGTGTGACCTTGACATGGGGAAGCGTTGCTCATCTTCATCTGATAAAAAATCGCGCGATCCGCATTTTACTCCGCAAAACAGTCGTACGAGAACTGAATTTCTCCAAAAACAAACATTTAACCCTGTAAATAGATATATTTTACCCTGTCGAATCAAAAAAATATGAAATCGCGATGCATCGGAATTGTCACTGGTCTCATCTGATAATAAGACCCCTTCATCTGATAATCAAAATGGATCCATCACACCAATCAAAACTACATCTGGCATCGTATCAACGTTATTCCAACAAATACGACGGTCCCGATCCACCGTTGAAGGATTTGGCGACTTGACATTTTTTTTTCCCAAGTCGGAAGCTCGCGATGCAGGTGGGACTTTGAAAAAAAAAATCTGTCAACTTCGCGTATTATTTATTTATTTACTTGGATCTTTTTTCAAGTTCCTTTTCTTTATTCTTCCTTCACCTTTACTTCCTCATTTTCATTAGTCGATAAGATGTCTCAGGATCTTTTCGACGTACCCATTTTCTTCATTGTTTTCCGTGAAACCACGGAAGCAGCCATTATTGTGTCTGTCCTTCTGTCGTTCTTGCGCAAGGTGTTTGATGCCAACACACCGATGTACAAGCGTTTACGCAACCAAGTCTGGATTGGTGCTGCTATTGGTCTTCTCATTTGTTTATGTATTGGCGCTGCTTTCATCGCTGTTTGGTACACTGTTCTTAACGATATCTGGGGTAATTCCGAAGATATCTGGGAAGGTGTCTTCTCTCTCATTGCTACTATTATGATTACCGTCATGGGTCT